GAACTTGGTTATGTAAAAAAAGGCAATAAAGTGTGTATTTTCTCGAACTTCTCTTTTGCTCTTTTATTTACAGGCCCACTCGTACGTTGGTTTCGGCACACCACAACCAACTTTGCCCTTTCATATACTATCCATTACATATTAAATTCCGAGCACAAGTAGAAAGGCCATTAGGCCTGAATTTGTGGGAGGAGTAAGTTCCCTACTTAAACTCCCAGCCCATACTCACCTCTGCCGGTTCAGTTGATTGTCCCCACCCACCTACACCCTGTTATCATTACATTTTCCTTGGTGGGCACTCTTTTATTTACAGGCCAGCTCGTACGTTGGTTTCGGCACACCACAACCAACTTTGCCCTTTCATATACTATCCATTACGTATTAAATTCCGAGCACAAGTAGAAAGGCCATTAGGCCTGAATTTGTGGGAGGAGTAAGTTCCCTACTTAAACTCCCAGCCCCTACTCACCTCTGCCGGTTCAGTTGATTGTCCCCACCCACCTACACCCTGTTATCATTACATTTTCCTTGGTGGGCACTCTTTTATTTACAGGCCAACTCGTACGTTGGTTTCGGCACACCACAACCAACTTTGCCCTTTCATATACTATCCATTACGTATTAAATTCCGAGCACAAATATATATATATATATATATATATATATTTGCGGTTATTTGTATTTTATATATAGATAGATATATATATATAGAATGTCACTCTAAGTGTATTTTGTTACCAATATATATATATATTATAATAACAAAATACAGTTAGAATGAAATTACATATAAATATATAATTTATATAAAAAAAATTCAATATTTATTTATTTTATTATTTTATTTATTATTGTAATTATACGTATATATATAATATATGTGTATATATCTATTATTTATATATATGTAACGTAATTCTAAGTGTATAGTAATACTAATATATGTACTTATATTAATATTAAAATACACTTTGTATGTCATTACATATATATAATATGTATATATATTATATATAATATATACACATATATTTTTTTATATATATATATATATATATATATATATATAAATACATTTCTATTTTATTTTATAACATGTTTAATGATTTTTTTTTTTTACTTTCCCACCAGCAGGGGGACTGTCTGACATTTCAGACAGTCCCTCTGCTGGCAGATCCACAGCCAGCTATAGGGGGCCATGTGATCGCTCTTTGAGCTTGATCACATGGCCCCCAGGGGCCTGATTTGCCGTGAGAGGGTTGCCTGGGCTGTCAGGCAGCCCTTCAGAAGAGGATTGCGGCGGAGGTGAGTACCGCGGACCTCCAGGGGCGCAAAGCCGTTACGGCGTTCTATGCCGCAGCAACTGCTTTAAAGCCCACTTAATGCGGGACGGCATAAAATGCCGTAACGGCATTAACGGATTAAGAACAAAATATTTTTAAACAATTCGTTATAGTTACATTGACCTAATAAGCTGTCATTTTAAACCCTGGTTATC